CACACACACACACACACACACACACACACACACACACACACACACACGGTTTCAGTTCCTCCGGGGTTGCATCTTGAGTCTTGAGTGCAGCATGTTGATAGTTGTCATTGTAAGATGTGTTAAGCAGCAAACAACAGAGGAGAGAGGTTCCAGACTGTGTTGAACAATCAATCCCTGAATCCCAACAAACCCACACTTCTGATCCACTCCTGACTACTCTTCAATGAATAAACAACATGAACACACTAGGATAGAGCACCAGCTGTTTCATCTTCTCCTCCCGGTGTTCACAGCCTCGGTCTCTTTTGGCTGCAGCAGCTGACTTTGTGTATCACACAGGTTGGGCTGTCACTGGCCATATGAGGAGGATAACTAACAGGCGTAACCATAGTGCTGAATCATGATGCATCAATGAACACAGTAGCCTGGCTGCTGTGGTTAGAGACATGTGCCCTCAGTGGTAGTGTTGTTGCATTCATGATATCATTAGCCCTGAACATTTGAATGTTGTCATTGCTCTGAATGAAAGCTGGTGTCCTATGAGCTCTCCCTCCCTTGCAGACTGTGTCTAATGAGCTTCTCTCAGTAAATCAGGTGCTAGCGACACAAATCCACTGAGACACATCTGCTCTGCAGCTCTGGCTCAGAGAGTCTTACCTCCAGGGTGGAGGAAGGTGATCTGTCCTGTCCCAGTGTTCCTGTCGTACTCCACGCCGTCGACCTCTCCTCCTCCTCTGCTGGGCCTGGAGAAACTCATCTCCAGCTGCTCCTTTGCCCTCTCCTCTGGTATGGAAGGGGGGACGTTGGAAACCTTGAGCTCCCGTCTGGACACATCGAGGTGGACCTACATTGGTGACAGTAATGCTCAGTGCAAAGAATACAGACCCCGTGTACAGCATGTAACACATTGAGCATCATTGTTCTGTGAGTCAGTCTGATGTTGGGAAATGAGTTGAGCTACACTTGTAGTTTATTTTGTCAGTGTCTGTGGGAAGAAGGGAGCCGAGTGAGCTGGTTCACACACGGGTTGTGTGCCTGTCTGTCTGTCTGTCTGTGTCCGTCCGTCCATGTCTCTCTCTCTCTCTCTCTCTGTCTGTCTGTCTCTGTCTCTCTGTGTCTTACCTGAAAGTGGACAACAAAACGTACCTCAAACTTAACAGCAGGATCCATGGTGATTCTTTTTGGTTTCACATCCAGACTGATGTTCTCACAGGACACAGAGCACTTGGCAATCTTCAGGATCTGAGAGGCCACTGGAGGACAGAATAGAGTCGTCACAGTGAGGCTACATGGGTTTCTCTCTTCAAACCAGAACCATCTCTGGTCACACCAGCCTTTCCTCATCTCCGTCCACACCAACACACCTGAAGTCCCCGTCTTACTGGAGAGCATTTACACTCTTGTTCCTTTACACTTTCTCTGACCTTTACAATAGTTGTGCAGAACAAAATACGCAATGATAAGAAAAGGAAAGTCCTCTGTTGTGTATCCATCGCCCTCCCCAAAGCCACAAACCGGGACTGATAGGAGCCAATCAAGACTGAACGTTGGTGTCTGAGTCTCTGTTTCTGCCTCTCCAGACTAAAACACAAGCCAGGAGTTCTCAAACTAAAACCGTTTAGGTGTTGAAGTAGCAAAAGATATGCTTTCTAAGAGGAAAACCCATCCGTGTGGCGGTAGCATGAGGATAATACTGTGTCTTAATGGACCACAGGACACTGTTATTGTTCCACTCCCTTCTATCTGTTGATACGTGTCCAAAACAGCAGCCCCCCCCTGCTGGCTGTTCAGCTACATTGACTTGAGGTAATGTTAAACGTTTGCTATTTGCATGTCTACTAATGAGCGTATCTGACACAGCCAGACAGCCAGTCAGCCTCAGCACAGGTTGTTGAGACTTTGTTCATCTAAATCTAAAGAAAAACAGAAAAGACAGATTAAGAACCAGCTACTTGTCATATTCCAGCCTATGACTGAAGCGTACCCTTCTCTTCTTCAAAGGTGATGAGTGCCTGTCCTCCCTGCAGGAGCACAGTGGGTCTCTGGCTGATGGCAAACACTCCTCTGATTGGCTGACTGTTGTCGTCCCTCTCCTCTTTACTCTGAGCCCTGAACTCCACCTCTGTGTCTGGAATCTGGGCGTAGATCTGCAATAGAATAGACAACAATAATGACATAAAGTTGTTATTGTTGGATATGCCAATGACTTGCTGTATTGTTAAGATGTTGTATTCTGTTGCTGCCATGCAGTGGCAGGTTGGTGTACTTAGATGGACTGACTTCATTCCCACCTTGAATTTCTGCTTGAGTTTTGTGGACTCGGCCCTCTTCGCCTCCAGCGCAGCTTGACATCTCTTCAGTTTGTCCAGCAGATCCTGTCTGCGTCCACCAAGCAGCAGGATTTCCTCCTATGAGAGGATCAGGTGAGAACATGCAGTGAGTCCTCTGTAATTCTCCCTGTGGGTTTACAGAGATGACATAACTGTACCTGCACTGTGTTCATGTTGAGCTTGAACTCCTTCTGACATTCCTCCTGCTTTTTAACGTGAGCCATCATCTCCTGCTTGGCCTTCTCCTTGGCCTCATCTTCTTCCAGTTTTTCCAAGATCAGCCTGGCTTTCACATCATCGGCTTTGTCTGCTTTAGTCTGAAAGACACAGACGGAGAAGTTCAGAGAGACTGTGAGAGACCTGTGGACAGTTTGCATTGAGGCTGTTTCTAACAGGAGAAGTAGTTCCAGATAATGATGAGCACATTTCTACAAATACATATTGCTGCTGAATCTTCTTATTATTAAGGTACTAAGTAACGCTAGGCCTACTTTAGGCTAAATGAATAAGTAACGTTAGGCCTACTTT